GGGGGTCGGCCTCTGCTCTCGTGTCATCAGGGATAGGAGCAGAGGGAACGGCTTCAAGCTACGGCAGGGGAGATTCAGGCTGGACATGAGGAAGAATTGCTGTTCAGAAAGGGTGGTCAGGCACTGGCATGGATGCACAGGGAGGTGGAGGAGGCACCGAGCCTGGGGGTGTTGGAGGAAAGGCTGGATGTTGTGTTGAGGGACGTGGTTCAGTGGGAGCTGTTGGTAAGAGGTGAACGGTTGGACTGGGGGAGCTTTGAGGTCTGATCCAACCTTGGGGATTCTATGATTCTGTGATTCTATGATCAACCCTCATGCGAAGGTGGGCCGTGGGCCGAATTTCCACCTAGAGGAGTTGTGTTTTGGGTGGTTTGTTGGTGTTTTTGTTGGGTTTTTTTGCCATTATCCGGTGTGAGAAGCGCTGCTGTGGTGCAACTCAATGGTGGTTGGGCTCTCTGTCTCCCCGCGAAGCCCCGAAAGCAAATCCTCTCTGCTTTGTGCTAATTGAAGAAAACACCCAGCAAGCAGCTCATAAACACGGTGTCAGCTCGCATTACGCGAAATTAAAATTCTCGGCCCCCTCCAACACCGGGAATTCCTAAAGAGGTCGGTTTTAATATTGCCTGAATCCGTTTAAGTCGAGGTAATATTGTTTGGGTTGCCATAGGAACAAAACACGTCTCCGGCGGCGGCAGCGGGTTCTGAACGGGCTGGGAGTGCTGCTAGCAGGGATGGACGGCCCGAAAATGGGGCAGAATCCCCATTTTATGAGGGGCAAAAAAAACCCCAACAACTACATTTAGGAGCTGGGATGCGCTGACAGAAAGGAGATCGCGTCCCATCATTTTTTTGGGGATCCGATCACCTCCTTTTTGTTTCATTTTTGCTTCCTTTTAGCCCTAAAATGACACTTTTTTGAGTGGGTCTCCCCACTCCCACCCCCTGCCCAGCGTTATTTCCTCGTTATTAAGGTTTCCCTTTGGGAGATCTCGACTTTTATCTCGGAAGACGCTTGGCAGCCGTCCGCAGACTCATCAGCCCCAAGGAATCCCTTTCTGCACCTTACAGAATTGGGTTTGCTTGCTCAAGAAAGGCTCTCCCGGATGGGAGAAAGAAGTGCCAGAAAGAAAGCTCCTATGGGTGCAAAATGGGGATATTTTGGGGGACTGCAAAGAGCAGCAAGGAAGCAAAACCCGCAGAAAAAAAAAAAAACCCTCAAAAAATATCCCCCCAAAAACCCAACCTTTCCCTTTCTATTTTCTGACACCAACGGCTGGGCGCTTGGGGAACGGCTCTGGGGTCTTTTTCACCTCTTTTCAGATCTTTCCTGGGCTGCACGGAGCAGATTTTGTCTTGTTCCCCCCTCCTCACCCTGTGCTGTTCGTCCCCATTGCAGCGTAGGAGACCCTGACCCAGGGAAAGGCAATTTGGATGGCATGGATGGGATTAAAAGGTGTTAATGAAGCGAGGAATAAGCTGG